AAAAAAAAAATTCTGCAAAACAAAGACCAACCTTGATGCCTTCGGGTGAAACACATGCCAGACCACCGGCTTGGGCAATGTTGGATGCGCCATTAAAACAAGTGCAGACAATGCGGTTGAAGTCCTTGGCCACTGGAAATCCATCAGAATATAAAAGCTCTTTTGGAATTGCAGTCCAACCTAAACGAACTCCTGTGAAGCCAGCATACTTGGAAAATGATGAAACTTCGATTGCAACCTGTGATGCCAATAAGTTAAATAATTAGATAGGAACTATTTAAGAGAATTAAATCATCGTATGAATATGCATCTATCCTGAAAATGATTCATTTAAAGAAACTGCTAAAAAAACACATACTGCTGTGAATAAAATTCTATGCAAAATAACATCTATTCTTTTGTTCACATACTATGAACTAATAGAAGCACGGAATAACAGCATCTCTAGACAATTATTTTTCAAGTTCTATAAAAGATGGAAGCGGGGGACAGACCCAATAGTTTACATCATAAACCGAAGAAAGACCTAGTAGGACTTGGATGAAACAAGATGAAAGGGAAAGAGTAACAAGATAAAATGAAGTGTCCAAACTTTAGTGCTTAACTCAGCTGTTATCGTCTGTGGTTCCATTATAAGGCATGGAGACCAAAAATTAACGATAGCATAATTGGGCGCTAGAAAAGAACACATGCTGGAGAAAGATTTAGGCCAAAATTCCAGACTTACCTCTTTGGCTCCAGGAATCTCAAAAATGGACCTCGGGCTATCATCTGAAACGTACATGGCATAAGCAGAATCATAGACTATGATTGACCCGTTTTCTTTAGCGAATTCTACCAATCTAGTCAATTGCTCCCTTGAAGCAGCATAACCTGTTGGGTTATTTGGAGAACAGAAAAATATGATGTCGGTCCGACAAGTGGCAGACAAATCAGGAAAGAAACCATTTTCTGGGGTACACTTCATATATTCAATATTTCCATACTTCTCAACATCTTTCTGAAACTGCCCTGTCTGGCCCAAAATAACACTAGAATCCACGTAAGCCTACAATACAAAATCAAGAATCTAGATGTTATGAGAACTTAGAAAGGGCAAAGAGA